CGTAAATAGCAGTCAGTGCAGAGGAACACTCCGTGCTATACCACTACAGCTGCGACCGAAGCGGCACAAAGTAGTGCCTTCGCATTGCACTGTCGGAAGCATACGGCGCTGCTACTTCCTTAGTTACAATAGCACATCCAAAACCGCATGCTCCCGAGGACGGGCATCGATGCTTCCTCTACGCATCAGCGCACGCCACCATACTCTAGGCGTGTCTGTCCTCTCGAGAACACCCGCACAAGGAGAACATCCCTCATGATGCCAAAATGTTCTGCGAGGAACCGACCGCGGCAAGCTCAACGCGCGCAAAATAAAATGTTTTTTTCCGGCGCGCGCGAAACGCTCTTTGCAAAACGCCTCTCTTTCGGAACAACACCTCTCCAGACAAGACCACCACCCGTACTTTGAACGCAGACAGTAGATAAACTTGTGTGCAATTGTAATGTTGCTGGTCAAAGATGTTTCGTCCGCGCATCCTTAAAAAAACGCGGCGCCCAACCATTCGTCTTCGAAACCAAGAAGACTCCTGGTTCACGCCACACGGCTAAGTCACTGGCACCAGGGGGCTGGCTCTATCGTACAACAATTGTCTTGTTCTCCCATCGTCGCGTCCCCGTACGTAGCACGCGGCACTCTGGCTGGCCGAACACAGTGCTCCAAACCACATTTTCTCTGCAACACGCAGGCTAAGCTTGTAGCTGCCAGAGGTAGAGTTGTGGTCCTCGATAGTCGGCAGGGCGCGGAAATTCTATCTCTGGCAGCTGCACTGGTGTGATGGACACTCCTCGCTACGGCGGAGATCCGACGTGTACCTGGATCGCTCGCTTCAGAATACCTGCGCAAAAACAGTGGAAATAACCCCGTTGAGGATTCGAGACACAGCAGACAAGCCGACATTTTGGAGGGCGGTGGAGCAAGGGGGGAGCCGGAATGATTGAGGACAGAACAAAGCGGCAGAGAAAGGGCCTGCTTAGCAAACGTTGTGTTATGATCATCACTTTGAATCAGCGCTCACAGAATTTCTGCGATGGAATGGAAATAAGGCACCGAAATTACTCGAAAATGTATTGATGTCAACAAGGGGATTTATGAGGTGGGCAAAAAAAAAAGGAACGGCCACAAACTGGGATGAGGACAAAATATATAAAACCGCGTTCGGGTGTGTGTGTGAGTGTGTGTGACCGGCCCGCAACAAGCCCGAACGCCCGCATGTATGGCTGCCGTCAAGCGTGAAACAAAGGTAAACGAAAATCAGGTACAGCTCGAGTCTTGAACGTTGGCCACATCGAGCAGCGATTGCTACTGTCATGACAACGGCAGCAGCAGCGACAGCCTTCAGTTCTCATAAACAGACAACATCGAACACCGCATCCAACAACAACAACAACAACAACAACAACAACAACAACAACTACGACAAAAACATCAACAATGACGATAAATAACAACAACATCAACGACAATTACGTACGAGTACAATTGCGCAAAAAGCAGCGACTGTTATCGCGTCACGGCGTCGTACCCGAGATCGTAGACGCGGCGTCCTTCTCCCCCTTCTTCCCCGAGTCGTTCAGCACGCGCTGGTTCACCTCCTTCTTCCTCTCCCCCATGAGATAGATGTCCTCGTCCACCGTGCCCGCCGCAACCATCCTGATCACCGTTACCGGCTTGGTCTGACCGATACGGTGACATCGGTCCTGTCATTGGGAAAGAAAGGCGAGGCAATGGAGAGGGGACACCGAAGAGGGGGCTCAACACGACAAAAGCAAACGAAAAATTTTCTTCTGAACCACCTTCGAAACGTTTTCTTCTGAACCACCTTCGGCCTGTGTTAACCTCCAATAGCATGTAGAGGCGAGCGGAGGGTTTTGGCGTACCTGTCGTTGATTTCTATCGACTTGCGGACCCTTCGGGTCCATTTTTTTGGTAGCGGACCTTTTTTTCGTTAAGTTAGCCTGTGACCACGGGAATCGACCGCGTCAAGTGTTAGACTGGTACGGACAGAAGAAGGTACTGGGTAGAGAGAACGGAAAGGTTTTTAATGCGAAGACAACAACAGCGACAAC